CAGTCACGTTCATGAAATATACGCTCTGACAGTTTTGGCTAATGGTTGGATCCCGTTCATGAATTGGGAATCCAAAGATACGCCAAACAGCTTCATTGGAGCTGATGTACCGGCCAATTCGGTACAGCGTTATTTCGTCGTTGTTATTCACTGGAAGAGCAGTCACATTGGTATTTTCAACTCGAAATACTGCCATATCACTGTCTTTAATCATATGCTTGCAAATATATTTGATGCTCTTCTTTTAAGGATGAGCATAAGTATTAGAGTTTAATATGACTTGTTGCAACGTGTGTGAAGATTGTTTTTGATTTATTATGTTTCTATGTCTAGTTTGGATCCGAATACGATTAAATAAAGATATATTTAAAATATACGTTAAATTTGTCCAAAAAAAGAAAAAATATTAGTTATAAACCTATTCTCAGACCTACTGAATATACATATAAAATTTCATCAAAATCGGTCAAGCCGTTTCGGAGGAGTTTAAACACTAAAACTGTGACAAGAGATTTTTATATATATAGATAATAAGAGGGTAGATAAAACTATCACTGTTTAAAAGGGTAACATTCACGATTCTGTGACATATTTTACATTTTGTATAACTGGCAGCTATATACGTAATTTAAACAAAGAAAAAAATTTATTCACTTCTTGCTTCATGAGAGAGTTTTATGAGGCCCACTATACACTGAGATATACCTCAGTGACTTATTTTCACAACTTTAATCTGATTTGTTTTTCCGGAAAAGACATTTGACAATTTCCGCAGTTTTTAGATATCACACGTATGAAAATATACATATAGTAATGAAATCATTTGCCAATGTAGATAAATGTTATGAAAACTAATTACAGTATACTCTTCATATCTCGAACTTTGATACAGTGGCGCTCACCTACTTAAGGACTGTGTTTTCAAAATAAATGCGTCATTATATTGGATGAATATTATGTTTTGATCAAGATATCTATAATGACGAATTCTACCTTAGTTAAACTTCAATCCTCAAATAATTCATTCGTGTTCATAAGAATTTTCATAAAAGTATTTCGTGCTCATAAAAGTATTTCATAAAAGTTTATTTAAAAAATATAGTATTTTGTTAAGTTTCTTATACTTAAGGACAGTTCGCCTAATCAGGAGTTATTGAACGATTACAATCAATTTATCGATCAATGTAAGTGTAATTTACTACATTATATTTGTTTGATGCTTTAAAACATTAAATTAATATTATTTTTTCTCTTTTTTAGTACAAATTTTAACATTATTATGAGTAAAGGAAAAACTGTTAGCAATGAACAGAGATGTTGAATAGATACTCTGAGAAAAGAAGGTTCAAGCATTAGAGAAATTGGCAGGCGGTTAAAATTATCAAAAGCAGCAGTTTTCCAAGCATTGAAATCTATTCAAGTGACCAAAAGTATTGAAAAAGCATCCCGAAAACCACGTCCTCGCAAAACTACCGAACGAGAAGATCGAATTTCTGAGCTGATCGTCACAAAACCGCTCCGGACTTCAGAAAAGAATTCGTTGAATTAACAGGCAAGCACGTAAGCATTAATACTATCAAACGGCGTTTAAATGAGTTTCGGCTTATGGGTCGCATATGTAGGAAAAAACCGTTGATGTCAAAGAAGAATATAGCAGCTCAATTAGCTTTTGCAAAAAGACACTGAAACTGGACATCGGCTGACTGGAATCGAGTTATATTTACAGACGAATCGAAGTTCAACAGAATGGGCCCAGATGGCAAAAGTTATGTGAGGCGTCGAGTCGATGAAGAATTTAATGTATGGTGTACAAAATCAACTGTAAAAGGTGGAGGCGGCTAGGTGATGGTGCGGGGTGCAATGGTAGGCGGACCACATCGTGATCCACCTAATGTTCACGATGTGGTCCAATTCACAAAATCGAAGGCATTATGGATCAGCATGTGTATGTGGACATTATCAAGACTGTTTTTCTGCCTTATTACAGGAAACTTCGCTCAAGAAAACCAATCATGCAAGCAGATAATGATCCAAAGCACACGAGCAAAACTGCGAAGGCCTTCTTGTCAAGCAAGAAAATTGAGGTCTTGCAGTGGCCTTCCCAATCACCCGATCTCAACCCGATCGAAATACTGTGGATAGATGTGGATAAATATGTGAAACAGCAAAAACCAAAAAATTTAGATGATTTATGGAAATGTGTCCAAGAAGGCTGGGCAGCTATACCTCCTGAGCGATGTCAAAGATTAGTAGATTCGATGCCTCGTAGATGTGAAGCAGTAATTGCCGCAAAAGGCTTTCCGACTAAATGCTAGCTCCAAATCTTTATTTTTTGTTAAATTTTTTACATTGTTATTAATTTTACTAACGATTAAGAAATATTTATTTTGTTGTCCTTAAGTATGCGGAATGCATATTTTTTCTAAAATGTTACATAATTTAAGTATAACAGTTAGATAAATGATTTTCATTGTGAAAATATATTAAAATTAAGTTATATGTTCCAATATATAATTATCAATTCAATAAACTTATGCGTGAACATTAAATTTTGGATTTTACTTCTCATAAAGACATGTCCTTAAGTACGTGAGAGCCACTGTATCTCGAAAAACCTGTTACATCAAAAAAATATTTTTCCTCTTGGCATTATACATCCACCTAATGTTAATATGAATTCCGATGTCGAAATTTTTTTTCTTCTCAAAAACTTGCTATGTCAAATTTTTTGTTCGAAATTTAAAATTAATTTTTTGAAAAAAAATCACAATTTATGTTCATTGTAAACCAATTCTTTTCTATATAATGCATAATTGTTCTTGTTTTCATTTTAAAAATAAAATAGAATAAAATAAAAATAAAATAAGTCAACTATATATTTATCAGTAGTTATTCATATATTTCCTGACTCTACTTTTTGGAGTAATATTTTAGAATACATTTGTTTACTTTTTTAAAACACATTTAGTTCTGAACTCAATATCTCGAAATTTTTTTAGCATCCCTTCAACTTTGAGCTACCGAGGGTATAGACTTAGACTTAGAGGTTGGGCAGCTCCAAAGAGCAGGGCAGATCGACCAGAGGTCTATTGTACCCAAATCCTAAATCATGATTAGCATGAAAGCCCTATAGCTGAAATAAAATTCAGCAAACATCTTACAGGAATATCATGTAGTTCCCAGGTTTTAATGCAATGCTGCCCCAAATGCTCAAATCTTTGAGCAGAATAGACCTCACAATCACAAAGTATATATCGTGATGTTTCTTCTTCAAGATGACAACCTCGACAAAGAGAATTGGATTCAATTCCTATTATGTATAGGTGTCTCCTGAGGATGCAGTGTCCAGTAAGAAGACCGATGATCTTCCTCAAACTGTTTCTATTAAGCTTTAAAAGCTCTTTTTGACGTACACTAGGACAGTCATGATTCAGCTCCTTAGCTTGTCTCTGATCGTCAGCCATTGCTCAAAATTGCTCATTGCTCATGAGCCATTGCTCATGAGCAATTTTGCCATAGAGCTTGAATATAAATACCTTAAAAGAGGTGAGAGAAATTCTCAATGCAGGTTCAGGGCCCCAGAAAATTGCATTAGAGCCAGCCCATGCTGCTTCATCAACTAGCTCATTTCCAAGAATACCCATATGTCCAGATATCTAATGCAGATATACCCTGCGATGAGTAGATAGGTCACAGAGGACCGAAAAGCATCCCCACACTAGCAAAGAGGTGAATGTACACTTTGACAGTGATAGGAGAGCAGACTGACTGTCGGAACAGATGCGGATAGTCATATTATGTTATCCCCTGTCTGAGCAAATCTTACAGCACAAGATGATGGCATAGACCTCAGCCTGAAAAACAGTGTCATAGCTATCCAAGGGAAAGTGAAGTTTGGTACCATCATTGGAACAATAAATTCCTACTCCTGATTTCAGACCAGGCCTTGAACCATAAGTGTACCATATTAGACCATTTAAGCCACCGAGGAGAATTGAACCATTCATCTCTAGTAGGAAAATGGATCTTGAAAGGCTTGTGAAAAGTTTTAGTGACATATAATCACTAGGCATAATAAAAGAGCAGGGGTCTGTCTAGCTTTTTCTGAGAGGTACCTATTTTGTGAAAATGTCGACATAATTTGTGAATATTAAAAATTATATTTTTAAAAAATCAACACAAAATTATAGATTTAGCGTTTCTTACGAGACACAGAAACAAAATTTTAAGAAAAAGTATTTTGTGAAACTAACATTTTTCCTTAAGTTGAATTTGTGAAGGTACAGCTAAACGGTAGTAAATTTGGCTTGGACAGACCCCTGAAGAGGGTATATCCATCACTTGTGAAACAAGATAACCCCATGACAAGTGTTTGGAAGTGTTGGACTCTTTCCATAGGCTAAGGTGCATAAGAGGCTTCATGCCTGTCTTAGCTTCAACTTCAATACGTAAGTTTAATGGAAGAAGCCCATGTAAGCTCTCAAGAGCAGCTGTGGGAGTGGTCCTAAAACAGCCTGACAGGGCTACACAGACCATTCTTGTATTTTCGAGGGTATACTGTACATATTAGCAAGACATTTGCATAGCACTGTTAAGCATATTTGCCAAAATAAGGGTATAAGAATAATTTACACACACAACAAGAAAAGGAGTAGACCCTGTCAGAACGCACAGATTAGAATTATTTTTTTGGTAGATGGGGAGAAAAATTATAAAGGCTAAAAGGAAATAAAAATAAGGAAACTTAAGTAAATAAAACTTTGATAATTGTTGATCAAAAATTATATACAATAATTTTAGATTCTACTCTTCCATACCACTTGCATTCTGGTAAAAATTTTGTTATCATTGCAATATTGGTTATAAACCATGTAAAATAATTAAAATTATTTGAAAAAAAAATTTGCCCTGTAAATAATCATTCAGTCACTACAACAAGTTCACTACAGAGAATTATCTGTTAACCAAAATTACGTAGAACATTTAAAAGATATACTAACGCTTTTCTTCGTTCATCAGGCAAACTCCTATTCACAGGAATTCTATCACTCGCAAGTAGATTAAATTTGTTGATGTAAAAAAGTGTCTTGCTTCTTTCTCTTTCAGATGGTAATACAAAATAAGCCTCACCCATGGCCCCAGCATTTTTTAATGGAGCATATCCATTGGTGTTTAAAATTTCTAGGGGGAAAAAATTACAGTTATTAAGCAATGATAAATAGTAAAATAAATCATTCATTAAAAATATTTGGATACTACTAGGGTGATAAATATTTAAGTAATAATAACTTTAAGAAATAAATACTTTATTTCATTTGCAAAAGATTGCTTTATAGCATCATGGTTCTCCCTTGGAATAAAAAAGAGCACTCTAAGTTTTGAAAAGGCACTCTTCAACACTGTAAAAATTTATCAAAATGTGTCCTATCATGAAATAACTGAATATGATAATCAATTTCAACAATTTTTAAATTACACGCTTATACTATTTTATGTGTATATCTAAAAAATCTTTCATTATTAGAATAAGGGAAAAATTCGTAGTTTATTAAAATAATCAAAGGCATGCTAATACATAATATTACTGGGAATAAATTTAAAAAAAAAAACTATTAATTGATAAACAACTTGAAAGAATTGTATATAATTTAAGGTGAAAATTATGAGAAAATAAACATTAAAAAATACATTTTTTAAAATTAAAAAAAAAGAGTTATTTATTTAAAAAATAATTTTAAAAATTAAAATCATTAAAAACTTATTAATATCCCCCCCCCCCTGAAAAAAGAGATACTGATAAAAATTTAAGCAGTTGAGAATAATCCTAACAAAGAAAATATTTGTAATAGTATTCAGAACTAAACCTATAAAAGCAGATAATTTTACCAATGTGTAATTATTATTTAAACCAGTGAATTAATTTAAAAAAAAAAAGGAATATGAATGAAAAGGCAGTGTTTTTAAGAGATGGGTGGTTTATTTTTACAAAAAAGGACACATTTATAGGGATCCAAGGGAAGGGAGAGCGAACCACCCTTCTAAATGCACTTAGGGAGAACACTGTTAGAATGACGACCACATGTTTATTACTTAGTTCACATATAAAAAGTTGGCATGATTTTTAATAGTTTGAATTAGGTAAACATTCAACATCAATGTATATAATTTTACTTTTTGATATTTTTAATTAAATTTTCTTCTAAATAGGAATATATTTAAAATGAACAAATTCCATTTAAATCATATAAATAAGAATCAATAAGAATGCAAACTACAAATACAAATTTTCTTTAATATGAAAAATGAATGAATATAAAATTAGTATATGACAGAAAAAAAAATACTGAACAGCTTACCATCAGTCAAATTGGGGGTTGGGTTCCAAGGTAAATCATTTCCAATATAATGCCCGACAATTACATGAATTCCTCGTTTATCAATATATTCCTCTTGTCCATTAGCCTTCTTAACATGAGGTGGTTCAAACTCATCATCTAACATGAAGTGAGATTTGAAGAAGACAATGACCATTAAAAATAACGGAATTAAGCAAATAAAACCCAAACATTTTATTTTTCTTTTCCATATCCTCCATAGCTTCATTACAAATCACTGAAATATAATTATAATACTTCAAATTAATTGGTAAATAAAACAGATTATAATTGTATCAGGAGTACAAATGAGTTCGATCCGTTTATTTGTGGTCAAATATGCATTTATTTCAGAACAAAATAAATGAGCAGATTAATCAAAGTATTGTCCATCGCTGGCTAACTACTTTTTCCCACCTCTCAGACAATTTTCGAATTCCATCTCAAAAGAATGTCTCATCTTTTGAGGCGATCCAAGTTAGGAGCCAATTTTCGATTTCTGCCAAAGAAGTGAACCGGTGAACTGCCAAATCGTGCTGCATCCGTTGGAACAACCAATAACCAGAAGGAGCAATGCCCGGCAAATATGGCGAGTGCGATAAAACATCCCACTTTAGCGTCTACAAGCATTCGATGTGCTTCAGCTAAACTTTTCCTCCAATTAAAGCAGAAACACAAAACCTCCCGCAAATGCTGCTTAGTTACCACAAAATTTGACATATTCAACAAAGGATTTTTGTATGAAACTCAAAGCGATATAAAGTTAATATTATTGACAGATGTCTAACCTCTCTGAAACCACCAAAACCAGCTGCCACTATGAAACAATCATAACAGCCAGAGTCATCTTTTGAAAACGGACCGAACTAATTTTTACTCCCAATATTAAAATAAAACATTGTGTGACATTTAAAAGCTCAAAAAATAATGTATGTATATGGTGCAGAAATGAATTACTAGAGGTATATAGTGCTCTAATTGCTGTTGTTTACTAGTGCCTAGAATAGCATTCACAGTTAGTTTCAGATAGCTATGCAAACTGTGCTTGCTTACCAGATACTGAAACATAGTAGTCTAATATTCTTTTAAGCTATATGCTAATATATAATCCAAAATTGTCTAGTATTTTGATAACACTCAAATTGCAACTTAAATATCCTAAGTTGGTTAAAAAAATAAATTTAGTAATGTGTAAATAATTTATATATTTAGTATATGTAAAAATATACTAAATTTATAAAGTAAAAAGAATATAATCCTATTGTTTTTTTTTAATTAAAAATATTGACGTTAAAAAAAAATTTATTACACTTACAAATAGTATTGTGCTGATATTAACCACTTATAAACAGGATTTGTTGATTTAAATCATGATTTAAATCAAATGATTTTTTTAAAGAAATCATTGATTTAAATTAACTGATTTTTTTTATATATATATTGATTTTAAAAGTTAAAAAACAGTGTTTCAATTATTGATACTTTTATTATTTTCTTATCTTAGTTTTAAAATTTATTTTAAATAAATTGCTATAATTAATTTTAGTTAACGAAATTACTTTCTTTCTTGATGTGCGTTAAATTCCTACACATTTGAAATTACATTTTTAAAAATCTATCGATTCTTGAGATTGAAAGTACAGATTAAAGTAAACATTTAATGCTGTCTGACTTAATATAGACTTGCATAGCTGTAGAAAGTAATTAATAAACATGAATTTCTTCCAAAAAAAATGCAAATAATGTTAATTACAATTCTACCTTTTGATTGAAAAAGCATGGAATTAAAACCTACATTATATTTTATTGATGTAGGATTAAAAATGAATATTTTAATATAAAAATATATAGATTAAATATTTATTTATTTTTTGATGAATGACTACATTTATAAACAAAATCTGTTACATTTATTTTGTCATTTTAAAAATCAAGAGGGAAAAAAAGAAATCACAATTTCAAATTAAAATTATGGTTCGCTAATTGAAACTTTGCTTTAATAGTTAAAGTACAGGGGTCTATCCAAGCCAAACTTACCTTCACAAATTCAACTTTAGGAAAAACTGTAGAATAATTTCACGAAATACTTTTTCTTAAAATTTTATTTTTGGGTCTCGTAAGAAACGATAAATCCATATTTTTACAATATTTTTGTGTTGAATTTTTAATATAATTTTTTATTTCGCAAATTATACCTAAATTTTCACAAAATAGGTGCCTTTCAGAAAAACCTAAACAGAACCCTGATGTACTTCTTAAATTCTCTATTTCATCTAGTCTTTAAATTTCAATCATGCATTTGTTCCAAAATGATTGCCATGCATTCAAAGCTATGTATTATAACGAAAAATTATTTTAGTAAGTTAGAGCTCCTAAAATATTGTTATAATATAGTTTTAATGTTAATTTAATTTTGACTAAACATTTATAAATTATTTTTAATCATAAATTAAATTTCTTACAGTGTATTTGAATAAAAAAAAAATCAGATTTAAATAAAAAAAAATCGGATTATTTTTATTTTTTTTAAAAAAATCAAAAAAATCACGAACCCTGCTTATAAATGACACATAGTAAGCATTAAAATTTAAAATTAAGCACAATTTGTTACAAATGACTTAATGTTTGTGAATAAATCAATAAAAAATTAAACCTGAGAACGGTGATAGGTGCTTACTAATAGTGTTCACACACTTGCGCACTTCTCCATGAAAGCTATACATTGAATTTGCAGAAAATTTCATCCTTCAAACTGACATAAGAACATGTCTGTTTAATTTCTTAAACTCAAATATTAAGTTTAATTTTTGAAAATTAATATTGCGAGTGATAAATCAATCATCTGTATTTTGATTGGTGTTTGTTTCAATGAAGTATGAGGATTGCATTTATGCATTTAAGCAGGGGTCTGCCCAGGCCAAATTTACTACCGTTTAGCGGTACCTTCACAAAAAACTTTTTCTTAAAATATTATTTTTGTATCCCGTAAGAAACAATAAATTCATATTTTTTTGTTGATTTTTTAATATAATTTTTAATTTTTCACAAATTATGTCTAAATTTTCACAAAATAGGTACCCCTCAGAAAAATCTAGACAGACCCCTGATTTAAGTTTGAGAAATATATAAAAATATTTTCCGACTTTAATTCAGCAGGAATCAAAAATGACTAAACCTGAATTTATGTATTCATTTTGTACATTCATTCATTGGGACTTTGTGGTGTCATTTATGAGTTATTTAAGATACGTTGTTATCTGAGTTTTTTTTAACAATAAATTAGTTTGTTTTATTAAGTTCTATGAGTTACTTTAAATTTATGAGTTATTTAATTATTTTTCTTTTAATGCAATTATTTCATTACTATTGCTAAATGACTGGCTAATAATTTGAAGTCCTCAGCATGGACTCTGCTTTTAGTATTGCAAATAGTATTGCAAATAAATAGATAAGTATTATTGCATTCCAGAAATCTCTAACTTAAATACTCGTTTTTCATGTTTAGTAGAAAATTTAGACATTAGTATGACAACTGCGAAAGAAAATTAAAATAAATATACAGTGTTCTCCCAAAGTATTTTTTGAAGGACGGCTGGTCCTGTCTGCCTTTTGATGCGCCCTATTTGCCCATTGCGTAAAAATAAGTTATCATCTCTTAAAAACACTGCCTTTTTATTCATATTCCATTTTTAAAAAAATTCATTGTTTAAATTTATCATTGTTTAAATTCATTGGTAAAATTATCTGTATTTATAGTGTTAATTCTGATTACTATACCAAATATTTATTTTGTATAGAGTATTCTCAACTGGTTAAATTTTTATAAGTTTATCTTTTTCCGAGGTATATTAATAAATTTTTCACAGTGTTAATTGAGCGCCCCTTCAAAACTCTAAGTGCCTTTTTCTGAGAGGAAGCGCAGTCCTTTTTTATTCCCAGGAGAACTCTGAATATATTACTTAAATAATTACATTAAGCAATTCAATTAATACATTATTATTTACCAAAGTTATCATTGAAACAAAAATCACTCAAAGATTGTGGAAAACTGACATAAATATTTTAGCATAAAATTACACATAATACAGGTAAAATAAATTACTTAGAAGTATTAAAAAAAAAAATAATAATTCATTAAAATTTTTCAGAATTCAAATTAACAAGAGAATCTTGAAAATTCCTATTAAAACAAAATTAAAAAGCACAGTTGAAAATATTGGATAAATACAAATTTGCTGCTTCTGGGGTAAAATATGCCCCATTAAAGTTCATTTAAAAAACAAAAAGTTTCAAGCTGATATGTATTCATAATGTGATTAGACTATTTGTTAAAGTCCCAGCTGGAACAATTGAATTTTATTGCTTACTTTACTTTTCTAAAAAGGTTGATAACTATTTAATATGTTTTATTTAATTTATAAATTGTTATTTTTTTAAATTAATTTTTTAAAAAAAATTAAGTATTTTAAAAAATAAAATTTAAAAAAAAATTATATATATAAAAATTTTTAGTTTAAATATATGGGTTATTTTTAAAAAAAAATTACAAAATGTTAATATAAATCTTAAACTTCAAAAATTTTTAACTACATTTTCTTAATTTAATTGTGTAGTTTAAAAAATTATAAAAAAAAATTTAATTTCAGTTTCAAAATAAAAATTTTTTTTTAAATAACCCACATATTTTAATTCTAAAAATAAATGCCGATTATTTTTTTGTTTTTAAAAATGAAAAAAAAAAATAAAAATTCAGATAAAAAATATAATAATTTATAAATGGAATAAAACATATTTAATAGCTGTCAACCTTTTTCGAAAAGAAAATTAGGATACTTTTCCATTTCGCTAGCGATTAACTCACCAATGAAATGCCACTGGCTTTGTCAATTTTTGTAAACAGACATTTTGACATTCCATTTTTTTTAAACACGTCTCAAGCTGTAACCAGATTTGAAAACTCACAGACAAGTTAGGAAATATGAATATTTTTTTTCTGTTTGTGAAAAACATAATGGCTAATAAAATTCTACTAATTTATAATTTGATAAAAAAACAATTTCAAAAAAAAATATTTCATTTTAATGAAGCAAGTGTATTTTTGAATCGTAGTGAACATAAAATATTAAAAAAAAAATTCTAATATGGCATAAAAAAAGCTGCTTAAAGATAAATTCAGATTAACTGTATTTAAAGAGTGATTTTTTAACAAATGAGAAAGTTAAATAATTCAATATGAATTATTAGTCAACCTGTAGTTGAAGTAAGACATATAGCAAAATAATTTATTTTGTCATTCAGTTTAATATTTATATAAAAATAATTTTAAAAACTAATTCCGTGATTTGTTTATTTTTCAAAAATTATTATTAAAAGTTATTTTGCAATACAACAAAAATTATTTTGTTATTTTTTAAAAATTATGCAAACATTATTTCTATTCCATTTTCAATAATTTTAAACCTTCATTTTCCGATATTTTTGTAAAACAATTTTTAACAACAGTAATACAGTTTATAATGCATTGCTATGATTTATTTTTAAGATTATTTCAATTATAGGTACATTAAAAAATGTAATCATAAACTTAAGTTCTTAAAAGCGTCTTTAAAAATTCCAGTAAAAAAATCCGATTTAAATAAAATAAAGAATTACTTATTTTAAAAATTTTTTTAAAAAATCGCTTACTCAGCAAGCAATACTTAGCTTTTTCAATTTATCATAATAAGTTTCATTTTAATGATGCTTACAGAGATTTTATAAAATTTATTTGCTATTTGAGTATCAAAATGTATTGTTACCAATCTTTATCAGACACATAAGAGATATTTAAATTTTCTGTAACACCTGTTAATTTAAATGATTATTTTGTAAACAAAAGCAAGAGTAAATTTTGATAGCGTGCAAAACATTACTAAATAAGCGATCATATTAAAAACGGAACTAAAAACAAATTTAAGGAAGAGGAATTTTGTCACTAACAAGACAGTTGCACAGAAAAAATTTTTTTACCTAAATTTCTGGATATCAAAATTTTTTCCAACTAATTCTGAGAAGAAAAGTAAAATACATGCCCTTATTTGAAATAATTCTATTCCAAAGAGCAAAATCAGCGAACCAAAAATATCTATTCAGTGTCAAACAAATAGCAAATAAATAAAATTGTCGAAGTCCACTTGATGAATGAGTTTAGGAATTTTCCATCAACAGGTTTTTTTTTTAGTAGTTTGATTTGGGAAGAGGACGTTACCCAGACAACACCTTCGCAACATTAGAAAACACGTTTCCGGTTGACAATTTCTTCACAAAAATGATTTCTTTAATGGAATTAGTTCTTTTTCTAAATTTGTTTAATAAGTCGTAGCGCCACCTACAAATTTTTATACATATGATTATTAATCACTTTTTTTTATATCTTTAATTACTCATATTTTGAATCAAAATAAATAAAAACGTTTAATTTAAAAGTTTGTATGAGCAAATAAATATTTAAACCTCATAATTTTTAATACAAAAAAAAGCCTCAAATTATTTTACAGCCAATGATTTTTTATTAATACTTTCTATTATTAAAATATACAATCAACTATATTTGATGATAAAAAACTTCATTTGCTTCTTGAAAGCGAAAAAAATATGCCTTCCGCTTTAGTTTCTTGGAATTATTAATTTAATACAATCAACTACTTTAGAACTTTAATTTCTAAACTAAAATTGAAATATATATAAATATAAACAAAAGAACTCAATTTTTATTTTATCAAAATAAATTTTTTAAGAAAATACTACAAATTAATTTTGAGAAAACCTTCATTAGTAATATAACTTTACTTCATTTTGACTAATGGAAATCAATCATATTATCTGAACAGCATTCTTCATTCATTATATGAGAAACATGGGTATCTTCTAATAAATATATTTTTATAGGGAGGGGAGACCACCTTGTACTGCTATTATATATATATATATATATATACGGTTTTCTGCGATACACACTTCTGTAAAAAAAAATGCAAAGTGAACCTAGCCTTTTGTTTTTTAAAAAAATTTAAATTAGTTTCAAAATCTTTTAAGTTTCAGACTTTTCTGATAAACTTCACTTATATATTTCTGACAGGTTAATAAAAATTAGTATTTTTTAAACTTTTATTGGAAAATAACATAGCTACCCATACAGCACATTGACTTCGTTATGACATCCTAAAGTGGACCATATATATATATGGTCCACTATTCTAAAACATAATTCATTGGATTATAAGTTAAAGGAAGCCACATTAAAATTTTCTCTAATTCAATAAAGTAAAATTTTTAAAATTTTCTCATCTGCTTCTTCAAGCTGTCTACTCAACCTAGTTTTTCATTTCAGAGAAAGAACCGTTTTAGCGATTTTTTTTTCTGTTACAATAAATTTTTAATTAAAATGTTTTCTGAATTAAAATAATATGCAGAATCAACTGAAATAAATAATGAAGTCAATCTTTTTTAACATTTCTCACATAAAAACCCAAATTAGTATCATGTATTTTAAAAGTTGTAAAAATATAAAATTCAAGTACATTACTTAATATTACCTAACAGCTAAATTTTTAAAGATTTCTAATTTAAATCTTTATCAACAAAAAATTCAACCCTTGTTAGATAATATTAGCAGCTAGTTTTAATTAAGAATTTCTAATTCACAAGTTTTAAATATTTCGGCAAGAAAACAGAAATGAATAAACTCTAATTTTAAGACTAGCGAATACGTTTCGTCCCATAAAACTGCTGTGTTGCAAATAAAACTACCATATTTTTCTTACAGTTATGAGCTTTCAGTCTACAAATATTAAAAAATGGAGAGCCATAGTTTCAGACTTTAAGAGGGAGAGTACTTAAAAATGTAAAGATATATGCATCACATAAAGACTGCAATCTATGTCAACAGATTTGACACGTTGGGTTAGCCTTACAAAGAAGAAATTCTTGAATTTGGGATAAAGAAACTCTCCACGTATTAAATCCAAATCTTGTTAATGAACAATTGGACATTGAGTAGGCAAAAGTTAAGTTTATATTCGCTACACTAGCATTGACTCAGATATGCTGGAGAAGTTTAACAGTGAATAATGTTCAGCGAGATTCCTGAACATGTTCGAGATTTTTGAGTTTATTCAACAGTGATAGCATCCTTCTATGAAAGAGGGTTCAGCTGTCAGCTCTTTACAGACCTTTGACAATGTGCTCAAAATTTCTATAAATTGACTTCTCCTCCAATAGAGTTTTACACCAGGCTAGAAATTAACATATATTTTAGTGTCAAAAGACAACAGCATAGAAACATGAAGTATAAACTGAATGGAAACATCTCTGACATCATAATTTTCTGATATTTCTTTGAAACTTTCTATTTGAAACTTTCTTTAAAACTAATATCAGTGTTTAAACATGCTACAGTTTTTCATTTTCTACATAATTTTATGGTTTTGGTTTCTAAATAGTACTTTTACCTACATGTTAACATTGTGAAAATTGTTTAGAATTTTAGTCTAGCTAGTACTTTAGAACTGAAGTTTTTTCCTTGATATATACTTCATACCTGCTTTTTTAAATGTTTTTTTTACCAACATCTACAATGTAGGTAGGTATACAGGAACACTTGAGTAGCTTCTTGAAGCAGTCAATAGTAAAATCAATCATTTATAATGCCTTTCTTTTATTATAAGAGGTCTTTCATCTTTGGTAAACACAAATTAAAAAATGAAGAAAGATTTGAATAAAAAAGGTAAGAACAAATGATAGTTTTTATTTTATTTTTACCCTCCTCTTAGCAAAATTTATATTTAAATTTGTTTGAAAAATACATCAGGGTGTGTCATGGCCTATCAAATTAGCATAAATTATCATTTGATTCAGTAAGAAATGAAGTATTAATGTGTTTTTCTAAAGTCTTACTATGTTTGTAATATGCCTAATTTCCTGTTTAACATGTCAACTGTCGCGTCTTATTTGACTACTTGCGAAGGATATTCATATGTATTTGAAAATTCAAGTTAATCATTTAATAGAATGTTTAATCTGCATAATCTATTTGAATATAAAATTTAAAGTTTCATTTTTAATTCAACTTGTAAGAAATCATTAAAAAAATAATAGCTTTATGTTTTTAATAGCTGTGTTTTCCAACAAAAAAGAAAAAAATTAATAAAAAGATGAGCAATGTTATTTTATATGAAATACTAAAAATATGTTTGTAATATTTCAAACATATATTGAAAAGAATAAGTGGCTTGTTATTCAGACAGCAATATAGAGGTGGGGAAACCATATAGATAAATGTAATTCATTATTTTCTAATAAATTTTTTTTCTTCTTTTTATGAAATGATTTGAATGAATTTTTTAACATGAAAGTTAAGTTTTAGCAAACAGATAACAATCAAGAAATAGAAATAAAGAATCAAATGCATTTATTTTTGCTTCAAAAATATTTATTGTATCCTGATTGATTGAAAATGTTATAAAAGCAAATGACATTCATACAGGAAATATGAAAACTAATTTAATTGAAAGTCAATTTTCATGAAGACATTGAAATCACTAGTCAAATACAAATAATATGAAGAAAGAAATCCTTTTTTTAAAAAACTGATTTATAAGCTTCTGATACTGTATAAAATATATTCGTTTTTATATAATAAGATGATTTAATTTGTTTTCTAAAAACACATTTATGTTAATTTTACTAATTAAAAAATTATATAAGCTAGAGTCATTTAAAAACTAAGCAGTAAGAAAAATTAATAAAACATTTTATTCTTTTACAAGGAATGTACAGCCTTCTTTTGATGGCAGGCCACAAAAACTAAAAATTGGCACGTTGGAGGCTAACTCGAATAAGGTAAAATTGTAAGCATTTAGATCACAATTTAAAGTAACATGTATTTACATAGTGGGAAGTAAAATTCATGATAAATTTTTCTGCAAAAACTGAACTGACTGCCATAAATAATTAAAAACTTAAACAAAATGGTTTTAATATTCAGGCCTGCACTAAGACAATAAGTGATTAAAAGAGCAGGATGACAAATCCAAAGGTAATTTTTTTTGAAGGCTCAAAATAACCTCTTTTAATATTCATATATATATTTTATTGAAAAAAAAAAGATTTTTATTAATAAAGTTGTTCAGAGGCTAAGTTATAAGCTTTGAAAGATAAATCTAGTCCATGGTCACAGGTTCTGCGAGTTTGTTTTTACTAAACAGATTAATAAAGTTTACAACAATTTATTTTTAAATGCATTTAGGAACAAAATGTTTATTTAATCTAAAAAATCATTGACTTTTGCTAGGCACTTCATTTTTAAACCTGGCATTTTTTAAGGTAAGCACTATAACCTCTTGTTTTGTATTGTACAGCTTCATAAACAATATCCTCAGCATTGCAAATACCTCTGCCTACGATGATAACATCTGTTCCATTGCTTATAACAGATTCGGGAGATTTATACTGTTGTCCTAAAGTATCGCCCTCGGCAGAAATATTCACACCAGGGGTCATGTGAATAATATTATCATCCCCTAAAAGTTTTTGCTGGCAAACAAATCCTATAACAAAATCAAGATGTTCCTTTGCCATTTCAATAACTTTATTCCTATAGGATTCATCAGTAAGTGCACCCTTTGAACTCATTTCGGCTATCAGTATGCACGCACGCTCTTGTCCTTTACTCGATAACTTCAAAGCTTCGATGATGCCTGATCCCGGTATTCCGTGCACGGTAACGATATCGGCCCATTGACTGATATTGTACAATCCATCTGAATATTGATGCATAACGGTATTGCCTATGTCGGCAAACTTGCGATCTTCCATAATAAGAAAATTGAATTTGCGAGATAAGGATTCCAATGAATTTGCAACGTCTGGGGTGAAATCATTTAAAACATCGATATGGGTTTTAAGCATGCATATATGCGGACCTACTTTTTCTGTGATCTCCAGAAGATGCTTAGAATGAACAACATCGACTGATACACACAAATTACTTTCTTTTTCCTTAATGATATTAAATAAGCGTTTTAATACAGGTTGTTTGCATAATGAAGCTCTTTCTTGAAATGGTTTGGTAATATCAGAAGGAATTACTTTCATGGGAATGTATGAATTACTTTTTAAGTAATTAGTTACATTTTTAACGAGAGTCTTGTCTACTTCGTTTATTTCGCAGTATCTTTTAAATAAATCATTAATATTGTACAACGAGTGCAGAGTTATACCATTGTTAGCTAGATTCTCCTTTCCTCCTTGCATTCTATTTAAAATAGCGATACAGTCAGTAACAATCAATCCTTCCTTTCTCAATACTTCAACTGTTTCGACGATACTTGAGCCACTAGAAACAATATCTTCAATAATTAAACACTTCATACCTTTCGTGAAAATTCCTTCCACCATTTTTTTGGTACCATAATTTTTGGCTTCCTTTCTTTTCATTATCATAGAAGTAGAGTAAAGGACAGAAAATACTGATGCAATAGGTAGAGCAGTGTACGGTACTCCACATATGACATCCATTTGGATATTAGATTCATTTTGTTTAACACGTATGTCCTCGACTATTTTCTTCACAATGTCAGGAAATGTTATAATCGCTCGCAGATCGATGTAAATGGGAGAAGGAACACCGCTTTTCAGAGTAAATTCACCCAGCTTGAAAACATTAATTTTTAGTAATTCAGTTAGTAATTCCATATTTTTTGCCATCCTGTAAAGGAGTCTTTTTATCAAACTGAAATGTAAAACGATAGTTATAAATTAATAAGACTTGTCATTCACGAATCACATGCAAAGCCGTCGGCCAGTTTCCGGTAATTAATATCATTCGCTCGCTTCCGGTAATTATTTCTTTTACAACTATGTACTATTCTTACGCTAAAAATTTCTTAATTTTTGCGTATACTTTAAAATAATTTAAAAAATTGAAGTAGAATTTAATATTCAACTGCTGTAATTTTTTTTTCTTCCTCTAAGAAACAGAAAAGTATTTTAGATGTTAAATACATAATTAAATTAGGCTTACCTTTATATTACAGTAATAGGGAGACAAAAACGTTGTTTAGTGATATTAATTAAAACTAAACAAAAACCTCCTTTTTGTTATGATCAAAGATAAGCAAATAAAACTTTACTACTTGCCAATTTATAATTAGAATTTGTTTTCCTGCTAAAATGTGTTAGTTTGGACGACTTGCGCGTTTGATAGCTTTATGTCCTTTTCCATCAAGTTCTTAGACTAAATAATGTATTTCGAGTTCTACTGAAATAATAGTTTAAACTATAATATTTATAAAATTTTTAGATATCTCGCTTGGATCTTTTAAACTCATAGTCAGAACTAATCACTATGAGTTTTAAGAATCAATAATTAAGTGGTTTTTGACACTATATTCAAACTCTTTACATAATAAAGACGTTAACAAGCAATGTGGAAATGCTAAAACTTGGAAATTGATTTTCTTTGAATGTATAAAAAAAACTAAAAATTTCAAATATATTTATTTAAACATATGAGACTGTAACTAGATTTAATTATGGAATCTGCTATTGATAATCACATATTAGAGCTAAGTAATGATACTGTGCAGTTTGAACCTGTGAGCAATTTAACGAATGTGTTTTATGATGAAGCTAACTGTCAGGTGTTTGCAGTTAGATCTGGTGGAACTACAGGAGTTGTTGTGAAGGGACCACAAGAAGTAATATCTTACAGTTTCCGCATGCTAGATAAAGGCGATGTTATGTCAATTAAGTTTTCTCCTGATAAAAAAATATTATCTGTTCAAAGAAGTTTTAAATCCATTGAATTCATGAATTTTAACGAAGAGCCAGATAGTCTTGAATACTCTCAAAGCTGCAAAGGTAAAAATATGAAAATTTTGGGATTTTCTTGGACCAATGTGAATGAAATTGTGTTTGTGATGGATAAAGGTATCGAGCACTACCAAGTTATACCTGAAAAACATACCTTAAAATCTTTGAAATCCTGGAGTTTGTCCTGTAACTGGTATGTTTATCATCCAGATAACTCTTTGCTTCTAATATCATCAGGAAGCTTATGCAACGTAATGCATCCATTTCAGTTTCGTCAAGGTACATGTTATAAGTTGGCAAGGTTTGAAATAGACTTGCCCGCAGCTCCAAAATTGCAGAAGGTTTGCTTACTCGAAAGGGATGTCAGTATTGCCACAGTATACAATAGAACTTGTATATTTGTTCTACGTCATCAACCTCGTACGGCAGGGACCCCGGGGGCTGAGATTGCTGTTTATAAAGTTATCAAAGATGGCCCCCCTCGTAAAACAGATATATTGCGGTTAGATAAGAGTGGTCGTTTTGCAATCAATGTCATTGATAATATTATTGTAGTTCATCACCAAGCATCTAAAGAATCAATGATGTTTGATATTAATCTACCGTGTTACAATGACAAATTCATATCTTATCATACCCCAATTGTTAGATGCCCCATAAAGCCTTTTGTGATTACGATTCCCGCAATGCCTAGTCAAAATTCGTTAGAGCAAAAGGTTATGTGCGAGTTATATTCGCCTAATTGGGTTGTTTTCTTACCAAATGTTATTATCGACCCTAAATTAGGTTTTATGTGGTATGTAAAAATGAATCTAGATCCTGTTGTCGATGTTTTAGAAGACAAATGTTTACTAGTCGATTTCTTGCTATTGAGACAAACCTCTAAATCTTTAATATTAAAAGTTTGTCACGATGCTTTGACGTCTCCCGGTCGGTTACCTCTCGATACCTTAGCAAAAATATTCGATAAATTAAATGAGATCTTCAAGCTCAACGCCGAGCTTCAAAGGCAAGATTCGATTAAAAACAGTCCACAAATTACATTAACCCATAAACCAACTGTTGTAATTGATCAAGCAGACATGTTCTCTCATGTATTCTGCATATTTGAAAAAGAAAACATAAGCCCTAAATTTGCCGTTTCTGTCTTGCTCGAGTACATTCGTTCTCTGATCCAATATCAGCAGTCTGTTCAACATTATCTGAGTAAATTGCTGATAAATATTATGGTTCAGAATAAGCAGTTTTATCAGCTTCATCAGTTTTTGCAGTATCAGATACTAAATGACTCAAAACAGCTAGCTTGTTTGATGCTAACTCTTGAGAGTGTTTATCCACCAGCGTATCAATTAGCGTTAGACATGCTTAAAAGACTCCAGAATACGAATGAAGAGATAGTTGAAGTGTTGTTGTCGCAGAAAAAAATTCTTCAAGCCTTATCATTTGTTAGAATGTGTGGAGCTGTTGATTCACTTTCTTCTCAAAAGTACCTATCTGCTGCTATATATACTGGGGATCCTAGAATATTTTATTCCGTATATAAATTTTTTGAGCAAAGAAATATTAGACTTCGAGGGTCACCAGACTTTGAACCAGGTGAACATTGTGAAGCTTTTGTGAAGTACTTTAATAACATTTATGGGACATTAACTTATGAATATGACAATTGATTTTGACCTCTATGTCTTTTTTTAACAAAAATGTTTGTTGGTAAATTAAAATAGTGTTATGTTTTGTGAATAAAATATATTATATTTAATTTAGAAGCATATTTTGTTTCAGTAAATTGTTTTTCATTATAAATTAGCTTGAAATATGTCTAAATCAGTGTTTCCCAACGTGGGGCCCACGCCCCACCGAGGGGCAATTTAATTGCAAAGGGGGGCAATTCAAAAATGGACTCGACATGAGTTTAAACCTTTTGCTCTGGGCCATTTAAATGCAATGCGAGATTTCGGTGACAAAATCGAAAGAAAAAAGCAATTTCTTAAATAATTGTGGTCAATAAATATTATGTGACTTAGGGATTTTTTAAGTGACAAACCTGAAATGAAGTATCTGTTTACAGTCGATGGTAAAGCATTTGTGAGTTATTTAGTCAATATCTTTGAAAAACTGAATATATTAAATAAGAAACTTCAAGGAACAAATAAAACTCTTGTTGATGCAAAAGCGAAGATATTTGGCTTCATTACCCTTATTGAGTTATGTCAGAAATATATTAACAACAAAAACTTTGAACAGTTTCATTGGCTCCAAAAATGTGAAGTAAATGATACCGCTTTACTTGTTATTGTCTATCATCTGAAAATTCTATCGGCTGATTTAAAAGAAAGATATTCTGATTTAAAACAAATTTATTTTCCAACATGGATGTTGCAGTCCATGTTAGTGGATTTGTCTGATATATCAAATATATCAAGAAGAACTTGCAGAAATGCAAAATGATGAGCCAGTTAAAACCTTATTTAATATGAAAGGAGTGATGGCATGGCTTCGTGAGGAAACAGAAAACAAATACCCAAATTCAATCAAATGTGCAAGAAAACTATTGTTACCGATTCCATCTTCATATTTAGCTGAATGTGGATTTAGTGCTGTAAATGATTTTATTGGTAAAAAAAAATCCGTCTAGATATAACACAACGGGGAGACTTGAGACTGAGGCTAACCAAATTGGAACCTAAGATAAAATCTACGTGCAGCAAGCATCAAGGGCAAGAATCTCACTTAATTAAAATATTAAATTATTATAGAAAAATATTTATTAAAATTATTTCGAATTTGAATTTTAGTTTTTCATTATATGTTCTGAAAATTTACTTACTTTGTTTCGCTAACAATTTCCTAAGTTTCTTAAGTGAGCAATTCGATTTTTTTAATATTAAAAATTATGTATATGTTACATAGGGGGGCATAAGAATTTTAGAAAGGCTTAGGTGGGGCATGGTACAAAAAAGGTTGGGAAACACTGGTCTAAATTATAAAACATGTTTCACTCGCACGTATTCAAAATCTGCTGAATTTGTTTCTGAGATAAAACAGTTATGGAAATGTTTGATAACAGAATGCGTTGCAAAATATGGTGACTTATATTTTTATAGAATTCAAATAATTAACTACTTAAAGAAAATATTGGGTATGTTCATAGTAAAGCTGATCAAAATTTGAATAAACTAAACCAAATATTTTTCAAAAAATGCTGACAGCAGATTTCGCATATAAGCTACTAATTATTGATTCTAGAGCAAAATTTTTCTTGTGTCATATTGTTCAACTCTTTTGTTTTAGTTTTTTAAAATGGTGGTTTTTTTCCGGTTAAATTTTATTATAATGGGAAAAGTAACGCCAATATTCTGAAGAAGAGCTGTGGTGGCTCATGGGATAGAGCCCCGTTCGCCTCCCAATGAGATGAGCCGGATTCGAATCTCGGCAATAGCTCATTGGTTCGCATTCTTCACCCAGCTCACACAGACCATAGCACTGATGCAAAATATCCTCAGTGGTAGACAGATCATGTGTCAGAGAGTCCCCTTGTTGTCTGGCTAACTGTGGAAGGTTTTCCTCTCCATGTAACGCAAAAGTGTGTAATGATGGCAAATTCTTCCCAATACTTGATCCAGGAGTTCCCTTGTCTTCTGGATTGGGTTCAAAATTACAAGGATATGGAGTTTAACATTGGTAGTCATAAACTGTAAATTTAGTCGGCTGTCCAATGACAGTTATAAAAGAAAATATTTTAAAGAGTATTAACCTTAACTTGCAAAATTTTAAGAGCTAAGAAGAATACTTAGCAGCCAGCTTCTAAAATTGTTGTGAATTTAGAAGCTGGCTGCTAAGTATCACATTAGCTGCAAAAAAACTAAAAAAAAAACAGTTTCTCATAAACATATTCTACTATTTTTTAGTGATATGGGTCATGTATGTCTTTTTGTAAAGGAATTAAATGCTCATTAAAAGAAAATCTAAGCAAAATTTTGAAAGAAATCTTTTAGAGAAAAAATAAATAAATAAATAAAAGTAAATATTTCCTATAGTTTAATAAAACAAATTATGAAATAAACACTAAGGCAGTAGGTAAATTAAAACTGTAACATTTCAAACTAACATTAAATGGATATATACATTAACATTGCCTTTGAGTTTTAAGAAAGAGTTGACTATAATTTTTTTAAAATCTCTTTCTAATGAATCTTCCTGCTTATAATTAATGGTAGAATAATTTCCAACAAAGCATAGTTATACTTTGTGAAATGTAGGATAAAGTAAAAAACGTGAATAAAGCTCAAATAAAAGTACATAAATGAACATACTAATCGTATAGAAAATAGTAAATAAATGAACTATACTAATAGTGTTTTTGGACATACTAATAGTATGTCATTTGTTATAGTCACATCGGTTTTTGCTTTAGTAGAATAATATGTTGAAAAAATGAGATAAAGAATTCTACTGATCTAGGTGACCTAGTGATAGGGATTTTTTGGTTCTTCATATTTGAATAGTTTTAGTTTTACTACATATTTCTTAAGTAAATAGTTAATAACTAATAGTTGAGAAATTTTAACACTAAACTTATTTTAAGTTATGAGTAAATTTTTAATCTCTAATGTAAACTCTACATGCTAGATTTCCACAAGCCTTAAGTGCAATTATAATATTCATTAATAAGTTAGTAAGAATATTCTTGTTTTAGACACTTTAACCAAAGATCTCCCTAAAAATAAAAAAGGGGGCTTTTTCTAAAAACAAAGGGGCACCTTCAGCTTTGAAAGGCACTAATCTTAAAAATTATACCAATTATATTTAGCTATATGATATTTAAACCCTTCAAATCAGTATTCAAAATACTCAAATAATTATGAGAAAGAATATTATATACATATTAACTTATCCTAAGAATAATTTGCTGTAGTTATGGTAATCTGAAGTTCTGGGTTTCTGCTACTGCAATCTCTTTTTTTTTTTTTTTACATAAAAAAAAAATTTTTTTTTCTAAAAAAAAGGGGGAGACATTTTTACAAAAAGGGCAAGGAGGGTGCATTTACCTCTGTAAAAAGGCAGGCAGGGTGGGCCATCCTTTTTAAAACACTCGGGGGGGGGGGGNGAATTTCGTTCCGGTTTTTTGGTTTTCCGAATTCCGGATAACGGGTTCTGTACTGTAACTTTGTATATATGTTTCGAAAAATTGTAATGTTGCGGCGCTATGTTGAAGTGATACTTTTATCACCATTTTTTGCGAATCTCGAGACCTCTGGGAAAACTAGACCAATAAATTTTTGTGAATAAAAAATAAAATATTAACATAAACAGTTTTCTCTATTTTTTAGCTTTTTTTAAATAAATAAATAGGAAATTTAAGTTATTTTTTACTATTTTGAAAGTGTATACATTATTATTTGGGAACGGTAAAAATGTTATTACATATTCATAATATAATTAACAGACCAAATACATAGTAAAGGACTGGAGGTATCAGATGCCAACAGTCAATGATCGACTAGAGTTTGAAGGGATCTTTAAATCCTGACATCTATGATAAAAGTAGATAATTCCATCAAAACTGAAATAGAGGTCAGACTTACAGCAAGAAACATATGTGTTTCCTCACAGCAGAAATTATTTAGATCATCTTGTATATCACGTACATTAAATTTAAAAATCTACAAAACAATATTGAGACCAGTTATAACCTACGACAGCCAAACCTGAACAACTACACACTATAAGGAAAGTTGCTTTTAAATTTGGAAAAAAAAATTATGCGAAAAATATTTCGACCTCTAAAGTGTGGCCATTTGTGGAGAATCAGAACGAATCTAGAAATAGAGAAACTATGTCAAAACAAGGATATAATTAACATGAGTCTAAAAGACTACAGAGGTTGGGTGGTCACTTAATAAGAATGCATGAGAATCTAGGTTTAAAAAATGCCTTTTTTGGGAAAAATAATAAAAAGGAGAAGTGTTGGAAGATTCAGAAAAGGATGGTTGAAGGAATCTGAGCGAGACCCGAAAATCATGTAACTTAAAAACTATGGAAAAAAAGCTGAGGATCGAAGAGTTTGGAATTTTGTGGTGAGGGAAGCCAAGATCTTTCATGGGTGATAGCACCAAGGAGTAAGTAAGATTCTTAATATATACTTTTAAAGAAATAAGCCCCCAACTCCTTTCTAAAAAAATCAAAGCTTCACTAATAAAAAAAAAAAAAATACTATGAATTTTTTTGGATTTATTACATAGTAAAATGTTATCAAAATAGAAATAACGATATTGCCAAAAAGTTAATAGAAAATTAAAATAGTGTTGAAAAAAAAAACGTGTTAAAAAATATTTGGTAAAATGATTGTGTTGGGGGAGTGCACTCTCTTCAATACAATCTATCAAGAAAATATTGGAGGCATTTATGATTTACATGCAAATATATAAATGTCAGTAACAGCAATATTTTAAGTTGCTTACCCCCATCAAATATTTCTAACTACGAAGATTTTTGTCATGCGAAAGGCAATTTCAGCTGAACCAATTTTATTGGTACGTCTTAGGATAACAAAAAAAAAAGAAAGAAAGAAAAAAGTTAAAGTTGTTTTTGTTTAGTTGATGCCTTGGGCTTATTTAATAGACAATTCCATAAAGCAATTAGAAATGTTCCTTATATAGCATAAACCTTAAAATTTGTTTGTTTAGTTGATGCTTTAGGTTTTATAATTTTTTCAATTATTTATAGTAATCTAAGAAAATTGCAGCCAGTTTATCATGGCTTGGTGATGTTATTGCTTTTTTAAAGCAAATATTTTTGCAACCAAAGTACTTCGAACATACATTTCTCTTATTTATTCTAGCTGTGCTCTAAATAGTCCAAAGAAATTTATGCCTCCATCTGTTCCAAAACGGGCATTTTTTTAACATTATATTTTCCTACCAAAGTTGGTAAAAAATGAGTCAAATTTATAGATTCTTTACGCTACATTAGAAAAACTCAGTAAAACCTCCTGGACAAATATTGAGTAAAAGAAAAAAAAAAATGCCACAAAGCATTAACTTGCAATCTTAGTTGCCCCATCCCTGCTTAAATTTAAGCAGGAGTGAAGTTACTAAAAATGATTATCCAGAGCTTGTTTAGGTCAAATTGTTCAATAAATTAATATAATGTTGCTTAACTCTAAAAATATTTCTAAATAGCTGTATGTACTTATACATATACATATTATAGCAATAGGTTCAACACATTTTCAGGTACATAAAACAAATAATCTTTACAAAGGGAAGTTCGGATAATGCAAGATTTTTTATTTTGTTCAATTTTGAATTATTGAAATTCTACGGCAGATATTAATAATCTTGTCAACAATAAATATCAAAAAAGAAAATATCATTGTCATTAAGCAAGGCTGAAACAAAGATTTATTCATTTTCTTTTAAAATCATTTATGTGATTGAATATTATTAAAAAATCAGTTGATTAAAATAATAATTAATAAATCTGTTGAATAAATTTGCATCAATATTTTAGGCAAATTAATCTCATCAGTAATCTACTCTACAATCGAATTTTTTGAAATAAAAATTTCTTATGAAACACAAAGCAATAATTTATCTTTAAAACCAAGTTAAAATAAATTTATTGCTTTGTAAATTATGATAAATGATTTTAAATAAGAATTTTTCCTAAAAACAATAAAGAGTAATGACACCTTACATTGGCTTGCATATTTACATGAATAAGAAAGTCACAGTTCATTATAAACTGTATGAAAATTTAGAAACATCTTGAATTTAGTGTGACTCAGCATTTAATACTGTCTGCTCCGTTTATGCAAATACCATTGGTTCCAGCTAACTGTATTTAAATATTTATTTGATTATAAATGGAATGAAAAAAATCAATCTTAAATGCTATGTTATTACAAAATTTTATGTAATATTTGTATGTAATACATAGCATAATGTTTTAAGGAAACTAATTTTAATAATCAATATTACGCGATGTAAAAATTAATCGATGCGAATAAAAAGTATTACACACTATAATACTATTTATTTTTTCCCAAAGAAATCTGTAACTGGAGACTGTTTTGAATTTTTCAGTTTCTAAATGGTGCGTGACTCAAGTGTGTCAAACAGGGGTAAAAACCCCCCTAGTTTAGTATATAAATGCTAACAAGATTTGATTGATTTTCAAACCATCCCTTGACCTCTTTGGATTAGGAATTGGACAGGAAGTCCCTATCAAAGTGTCAGTGTATTCTCTCCTGAACTGGAAATTTCATTTTAGCAGCTGAAACATTTCTTTTTAAAAAAAATAATTTTTCTTCCCCATTCATGCAATTAAGGGAAAACATGGCAACCATAAGTATTCTTTTAAATGTGAAAATTTAACAACGGTTTTTATATAAATAATTTGGTTCAATTAAATTTTATTTGCAAAAGGGGATTATTCAATAATTAAGTGGGGAGGACTGCAGAATCTGATATCTTAAAAAGAAGATAATTATTTTTTTAAAACATTTTTTATTAGAATATCTGATAATGAATAAAAACTACAGAAGGATGAACATAATAATCATATACAAGATGAATATGTAAAAGATACCTATAATGATATGAATTCAAGCATAAGTCAGTTTCACATTCTTCATTTTATACACATGTTGATTGGCACTTTAATTTTTACAGCGGAAATTTAAATTATTAAATCTAAGTATTATTTTTAGATTTGCATTGCTATTTATACTAATTAAAATTATTAACTGAACATTACCATAAGGCACAAATAATATTAATAGAATATTAAATGGGGCATAATAATAATCTAATAAGCAGTGGAATCTAAAAACTTGAAAAGATTTTGAAACATAGAATTATATTTTTCAGCCAGAAAAATTATGAATAGTGCTTTCTACATACAAGAGAGAGTTTACAATTCCCATTTTCTATAATAATTAATTATTATATTGCTATATTTGATTTCATGTACTGATTATTGTTAAATTAAAAATATTAGTGTCATCATTACAAAATAAAGGTAAACAATGAATACACAAGTTTATTAGCACATATGCAACATGAGCGCCTAATTTGTCAGGGAGAAGAAATTAAAATACTCAGTTACAAAAGGTCTTAATTTAACACATAAAGTTTTTTTTCCTCCATTAGCTAAATAGCTACAAGAATAATTTTTTAAAATTTCTTAATATGTTTTTAACTTAACTGAATTTAAACCAATGATGATTCATAAAAAGTAAGACAAACAATAAAACAAATCAAGAATGACAAAACACCATTTACTTCCCAAACAAGACTACTTATTCCTTTTTTTATTAAAAAAAATATACATAAATTAATTAATGAAATATTTATTTGAAACCATTAGAGTTGAATAAAGAAAATATAAATCTTAAAAAATTGGAGAGTATATCGTCATTTATTTATTTATTTCAATTGCAAACAAATTACACAAACGATAAACTAACAAAATTTTTAATTGGAAACAGAAATGATCAAATTCCAGTATTTGTTTATGTCTACTCTTAAATTGAAAACACTATCCATAATTAAAAAAAGAAAGAAAAAAAAATCAAATTCCAAAAATTATACATTTAAAACCAATTGTTTTGGATGTGAGGTCTAATATATACAGTTAAGATTTTAAAACAAGAGGCCTGGTAGGTAAGTGGTAACGCTTTACGTCCTCATGCCACAGGTCTCATCCTCAGACTGACAAATGTTGACTCATTCCTTCAGTGGGTCAATAAAACAAGCATGCTTGGGACAGTGGAGGTTCTGCGTTCGGCAGATCACCCAACTGGAACATCTGGTTTTGTAAGCCAGAGTCCAAGATCAAGAAAACTGGCATGGATACAATAAGCCTTGACCGTCCATGGGCTATTACCCCATTATTAAATACAAGAAGCTTGCTAATACCTTATTTCCACTCGTAACTTTAAACTTCCTAAGATATGCTTTAGATTTCTGCTTTTAGAACATTTAAGCTTTCTTAAGTTTGCAAGTGGAAACAATATTTCAATTAGTTTTTCCATAAAAACTTAATTTTTTATTTCAATTAATTTTTTATGTTATACTTGAAAAATAGTAAAAAAAAAAGAAATATAAGTTAATTCTCAAAAGTTAATGAATAATTCTTTAGTTAATTCATGTGTTAATGAGTCCCACAGAAAGTGCCATAAAATAAATGTTAATGTGAAAGGTCTTTTTAACAAATTGATCATTATGGATGAGTTATAAAAAGAAACATTAAGTTCATGTAATGAAGGTTTGTTTTTCAGTAAAGATCTTGTTTGTATTGATTTTGGTTTTATCGTATGAACAACTGTATTTATATGTATTTAGAAATAAAGCTCTTCTGAAAATTTTTATATAAATTTGGCAAACTTTATAAAACCTGCGATTAATTTTAATTTTATACACATTCTTGTCAACAATATTGCTTATTCTAGACATATTTCGAAATTGATTCTAACTTGGCACTCATTAATATTCCAATTATCAGAGACAATTGATAAATTTTTTCTTTTACTCTATTCTTGATTGTAAGCGATATTCTATCTAATATTACAGTATGACATGATATGCAGTGCTATGAAGATAAGAAAAAAAAAATCAAATTCATAAATGTAGAAATTTTTGACACCACTAAAATTAGCTAAAATTTTTCTGAATTGCAATCGATTAACAAAAATGAGAACAGCAACAGAATCTAGAACATTAATATAATAATAATACTAATTTAAAATAGTGCAAATGATTAGTTATTCTGAAAACACTGAAATGGCATTGAGTGTAACATAAAATTTTGATACTGGATAAAATTTTTTTAGGTGCTGATTACAAATATGTTACAAATATAATAATACATATATTCAAATATAGTAATATGCTGCATAACAGAAAGAAAAATATTGTAGCAACTGAGCCATCCCAAAGGCGCAATGGGAAAGCATGACAATAAAAATTTTATTTTTTGTAGTTCTTTTTCTTCTCTTTCCATTCAGTTTTCTAGCCTTTAGAACACAATCTACAGATGTGTTTTTTTTTTCTTTAACAAATACAATATATTGAATCTAAGAAAAATAAAACTATGCCATTCAAATACCATAAGATTATTTGCTGCTAAAGTTTATTTCATCGAAATCATCATCAGTCTCAATTTTCATCAGAAATATTTAGAGATATAAAGATCCTTATAATTTTCAAAATTAAATTTTAATACAAAGAGATAATTGTTTCACATGTTTTTGCGAAGAATTTATAAAAATGGACCTATTTTTATGACTTACTACGTACCTTAATCAGTATCAATAATAAAATTATTGGCTGTTTTTTTAAAAAAAAAGTATAATAAAAAATATACAAAATCAAAAGTATTTAGAAAAACTTCAGAAACAAAGCAAAAATCAAAGAATAATTTCAAAAGAATATAGAAAAAATAAAATAGTGAAAAGAATAAACAAAAAATTCAAAACCAAGTATAGTTTTGAAGCAGTAAGCATTTTAAAGATATTCCCACTATATTTACCTGAGCATCTTTTTCTTTCTATTATGCAGAGGGGAGAGTAGGAACTATTCAATTTGCCTCAAATTAAGCACCTCAAAATCTTTTGATTGCTCGATATCAGTATTTTATGTTACACTTTGTACCATTTTCTCATAAAAACTATTCCATATGAAAAAAAAGAGAGCTGTTGGAAGATGCACAAACAGCAATTAATCAATAAACATTTATCTAGCATGATGATTAATTTGACAAATATATTTACATATCAAAGTTGGCTATAACTAGAATCTTCATTTAAGAAGCATTTATAATTTACAGGCATTTAAAATTTAAATAAGTTCATTTCTTTTTACTCATAACTGAACGGCAAATAAATATATGAATTTCAATCGCATTTAAAATATTGAAATCAATGAATTAAATACATAGTATAAAAATTTTCTTTAAAAAATATTATTAGGAGGTGATTTATTTTTAACTCATATATTTTTCTTTCACAACAAGAATAGGCATATTATTTAAAAAAAAAATTCAATAACTTTAGTTTTATTAATCATTGATAAATTGTAAAAAGTACAACTATCAATGAAACTTAATACTCTTTCAATTTCAATGAATATTTGAAATTTTTTTTTTAAATCATTGATTCCCTTAGTGAGATTCATTAGTCATTGATTCCCTCATTCTCTTCCCTGAGAGCTGCTAGAAACTAATGTTAATGATATTCATGAGTTTATTGAATAACATATAAAAGAGTTTCATTTATTTTTATCTCTTATTTATAATCAGTCATATTCTTACTTATGTTGGAGGGCTGTGCAAAAATCTTAAGAAAAAAAAAAGTGCCCTGACTCAAAGTTTGGGAACCACTGCAATAGCAGAAGCAAACAATTTTACAGAAACTAGGTACTATAAATTATGTTCAATGCAAGAAAATATTTCAAAATTTCACTAATTCATAATAGTTACATCTATTTATTTTACACTAGTTAAATGGAATAAGGAAAAAGTGTTACAAAAATAATGATATTTTTAAATCATTATAATTATTGGTATATATATATATTTCTCTATTGATTGTCACCATCAAATAAGGTTTCTGGTAGCTGAACCAAGTTTGAAGTTAAAAGGGAATTATTTATTTTTAATTACTTATTTAATTTACAAATTATTACAGTGTGATAATATACAATGAAAACTTAAATAAGAAAAAAAAAACTTTTCCAGAGATGCTATTTAGGAATTATTTTTTAAACATTTCAATATTATATTTTTTAAAGGTTTCAAAGTTAGTTTGCTAATAAATTTTTCTTTTTTACCGAAATTTTTTTTTTTTTTAGAAATTAGTTATACATGTAATCCATTAAGTTATTTAATTATTCTTTTAAAGAAAAATGTGAAGTTTATTCTCTTTCAAAATATAGGATGGTATTCTGAGTTTATTCAAGATATGTTCGGATTTATGTTAAAAATAATAAAATGGTACATCAGTAAAATAAATTTTACAGTTTTCAAAAATTGAAAGCTATGAATGAAGTATTTAACAAGGAACTAAATATCCATGTGCTAAAAATGTTACTTAGTGGTTTTGTGTTATTTACAACATCAAAAATATCAACATACATTTTACACAAGTAAATGAATTTTGTTAACTTAACCTGACTTATGCATGAAATTGCACATAATAAAGTTTACACCCTAAAACACATTACATAGTCTTGATTTCATCATAGCAGCCAATTTGAAACTAATACTACAAGTTAAAATACATCAGCACCTGATATCCATAGTATATATAAATATTTTAAATCCAATTTAAATACAACAACAACCAAATAATAACAATTATTTATAAAATGACTAATATATTCTGCTCAATCTTGAAAATAAATATATTTAAGAAACCCTTTTGTTAATATACACACACACAGGTAACCAGTCTATATATTTGTGAGGAGACGACACAGATGAATCTTGGTAGAACCAAACGTCCTTTTTAATGGTGGTCCCACTAAGCTTTAATGAGCACACAGATCAATAATGACAAGTTTGGTTCATGAGCTGCTCGACTTGTGCTGTTCGTAATACGAGAATCTTTGATAGTTGTCGGGTGTGTGGGCAACTGAATAAGCTGGTGGAGCATCTCTGTTAATAATTACCTGAAAATATTTGCATGCTATTTAATTTATTGCATAAGAAAATTTCCATAAGCGCGTATTATCCATTAGCATGATAGGGTATACTACTTCTCTAAACACAAGGAAGATAGGGTTTTCTACCTTTATAAACACAATGTATCCAAAAGGAAAGAATAAACTACTTCTATAAACACCAAATGCTATCAAAAAGGAGACAGAATGCTATGTCTATAAACACCATGTGTTATCAGAAAGGAGGATAGGATAAATTACTTCTATAAACATCAAATGTTACTTCTATAAACCATGTGTTATCAAAAAGATGATAGCATACACTTAGTGCTGTGTAGACTAAAGCACAAAAATGGACATAATACAGTTTCAATCAAGGTGTTAATTAAATTTGATTAATAGCTGGGGTGCTTTCTGGTCAGTGTGTTTTTGAGTTTATTGGAGAAACTAAACATATTTTTTTCATACACTTAGTAATCTGATCATAGAAATTCATTCTTTGGGTTATTGTGATGTAACAAAATACTTACATTTCTTTGAATTACTTAAATATTTATTTTTTAATGCAATAGAGTCTCTGATGTTGCCAATGAAAGAAACAAATCCAATCTGTGGTTATGTTAACTTTTTATATACAAATAATTTTAATAAAAAGTTGAAACAGAAAGATCCACATATTTGCAATTACTCAAAACACTTAACCAAAATAAAAACTGCAAAATTATTCAACTAAATTATTATGCTAAAAAGAGATAAAATACTTTGAAGCTATTCTTTTTGAAGTTTAAAATTACTATTATTAACACTTATATTATATTATGCATTAATTAGCAACCTATTTTCAAGTTGTTATAATTATAAAGGAACTGTTATATTATAGCAATTAAACTTTCACTTAACAAGTCTTGAGACCATTTTAATAGCGTGAACATAGCAAGCAATAGCGTGGAAAAAAAATGGAAAAAATTGATATTTTTAATGTAAAACAAATAGTGCTTCTACTTACATTGTTTAAAGCCTTGTCATCATCTAAGCATTTTGTTGGATAATAGCCATCACCAGTAGTTTGGAGGATCACATAAGAAGAGTTGTTGTCATAACAGTAGCGGAATAAACCACCACAAGCAGAGAGAATTAAAATCATGAAGACAACTCCAGCCCTATCAAATTTAATATTTATGAGCAATTGGGTAAAATTTAGTCAAAAACATTATATATATATAACATTTAAATAATTAATTGAAGGTAACCCAAAGTAGACATGGAATAATTAAATTTACAATGATAACTTTCAAAGTTCGGAAATAATATACAAATTTTAAATACATACAAAACTTTGTATCTTACCAAAAGTACCAAGGAGAGTAGACATATTCACAACACAAATTGTCTCCACAACAATATTGATCCTCTTTACATCTATAGAGGAGAGAATTTTTTAAAAATCTATTGACAATATGCAACAACAAACAAACATGTAAATCCTTAGTTCTATACAAATAATCTGCTGAAGATTTTTCATGAGCCTAAGTTGAAAATTTCACTTTTACTGAACCAATAATTTTTAGTGTTGATAATTGAGGCAACTAAATGCAGAAATACATTTTGTGGCTGAACTACAAAATTAAAATTTCTGACAATCAAAATGAATTTTTTTAACAGAGTCTGAAAATTTTATGAGCATTATTAATATTCACCTGAGCAATGAAAATTCAACAGTCTATAAGATCATTTAAATTTCATTTATTGGTCCAAAAATACAAAAATGGTAGACTAACGTGAAAAAAAAAAAACTTTTAGCTACATAAGTACAAAAGTTATTGCCATATTTTAAGATGAATATATCAACTGGCATAATTCAGTTATTATACATATTTAGGCACAATAATTTAATTTTAAACAACACATGGTTTTTATTTCTCATTTCTTTATGTTGCTTTGACAACAGGCTGATTGCAATTTACATATTTGAGCAATTACTTTTTGACATACTTGATTGGCAACAATTTTATTGTAAATTTAAATGCTTTTTTGGTAGTACTGTAGGACAAATTTTCTTCTGATTTTTTATAATCACAAAATTTTAATATGATAATGCCAATATTTCAAGTAACAAATTTGTCATCCAAGTTACTAGCATGAACTCCAAACATTAGAGCTGTTAAGATAAAGATGAACATTAGCAAGAGAAATAGCAAATAATGTGAATTAGGCAATGGCATGATTAAGTATGTATAGGCAAAGGGCTAACTCTTTAACTAGATGTCTCTACTAAGAATATTGCAATGACTGCTCAAAGCAAGAAAAAAAAAAAAAGCCATCTAATTTGGAAAAAAAAAAACCTTGGAAAGAAAATATTTATATACATTTATAAAAATCTAAATCCATATTTTAAACTCATCTACATAAGCGGAAATCTTTTATGGAAAAAAAATTATAACTTCTAACAAAGTATTAAGTTTTTTTTTAAATATAAATAATTTTTATATTTTAATAATCTAGAGCTTCATTATTAAACTATGTTAATTATATCAATGGTTAGACACTTAACACAAACATAATATAACACTTACAGATCATGGTTGCAGTAATAGGCAGAAACCTGAAAGAAAATTTAATAGTTAATGCATTCATAACAAAATATGAAAATGTATTGCAACAGCAAAACTTAAAATACAAAATAAGCACACAAACTTCAAGTTGACATTATACCATTGATTTATCATTATTATTAAATTTTCTAACAAAAAAAAAGATTCTTATTTACAGAAACAACCCTAAAGATTTGGCAAAACTACAACTTTTTTCTCTTCTTTAATTATAGGAACTACTTTCGAAATATAGTCAAACAAATTACTTTTACAAATACAAATTATTTTGGAAATACAGTCACTCTATCTTCGTTGGATAGCTTAACTTACACCCATATTCAAAATTTTTTTGAATGATACTGGCTCATTTAAGCAGGAGAAATAATTTATGTTTATTTATTCATGCTTAAATGAGCCCGTTTATTATTTTAAAGAACTTTTTTTATCAATTTGTTCCTTCAACCTTAAATTTTTTTTATGGCTTACTAGAAAGCGAATATTTAATTTAAGAAATGCTAGGAATCTATCAAATATTTGTGATTTTGTTAAGTGATTAGTGCTTTTTATATCCTAGGAGAAATAAAGTACATCATAAATGATGGAGCAAAATATGCTCCCTTCCATTGAAATAACATGAACATACTCTTTTAGTGCTTCATGTGTGTACATTTGTATTTCTAAGTATGGCAGTTTAAAGTAGAAGCACACAATTTTGAAATACTAACAATTTGTTAAACAGACAAAGTTTTTTTTTTTTTTTTTTTTTTAAAAATACAACCCTGTTTTCATATTTCTTTATCACACTAAAATAAATATATGCTGGTCAGGGGAGTTCAATTTGCGATTACAACACTTGTCTATATCATCTGGGAAGAAGACCAAGTCCATGTCTAGACCCTTCCCTTGCTCAGTTGTAAAGATATTACTACAATATTTTCCCCTTACAAAATATTTTTCACATTTAATTGTCAAAAATTGTTATAATGCTTCTTTCAGAACAATGTTCAATATAATTTTTAGTTCTATATGGTTTCCAAATTTGAATCCGTTTGAAAATCAAGATGGGAATTAACATTCTTTCTTCTTTTATGAGTATTCAAGCGTCGATAGTCGAATAATGCGAAGTGTTGTCACTGGGAAAGAGTTCCGCTCTTCACCAGCAGTAGCCCTTTTTGATTGCCAATATTATCGTTATGAACCTTAAAGGTAGTTACCCTCTTCCACATTTATGAAAACAGATTACATGTAATCTGTTTTCAAAAAATTACATGTAATCTGTATTAAAATCATATGTAACGATTTTAATAATAAGATTTCCAGAAAATAATGCAATATACAACTGCTGCAACCATTTATAAAAACTATCTGCTCTGGAATATCAATTGCAATTCTTATTTTAATGCTTGGCCACAGAGGCATTCTCATTACACATATCGTCGGACTCGTCTAAAAATTCCACCAATCAGATTCAAACAATTAATTGCATTTGAACCTTGTTTCCTTACTAAACTACAGGAGCCAGCATAAACTCATGTTTTTTGTTTAAATTGCATTACTCACTACACCACTTGTTTCAATCCTACTTCACTACAAACTACCAATAGAAACAGGGACTAAGTAGTTTCGCTCTTAATACTTCTGACCATTGAGAACCACTATTATCCAACATTCTTGGTACCTGGGCTACACCAGAAAACTGAAATTGTCAGATAATTGGGTAACCTTTTTAAAATCGATTTTAAGCGTACATAAATATTGAATTATATGTAAAACTACTTAAAACAATTAGTGACAAAAAATTTTTTTAAAAATAAATCCGTATTTGTGTCTTATTTTTTTATTATATATAACAATACAATAGCATAAAAAAAATCATTAATAATTTTTTGCTTTCTGTTTGCCGCTTTCTAGCAAATTTTGATATTGTGGTTATATTACTGAATTGAATGTTTAAGTTTAAATATACACATTCTAAATATGAATGAATCAGTTTAATTGAGAATCGTCAGTTGCAATAATGATGAAACATGTATTGGGACACTTTTTACATGTGTCAGATAATCAAGCAATCAATGATCAGATAATCCAGGTTTTATTACATTTGCACATTATTCAAGAAATTAGAAACAACCTACTCTACATTTACTATACACAACAATCTTATATCAATGCAATTTAAAACCTACAGAATACGAACTTAATTTGACATAGGAAACCCATTGGTAAACTGAGCAGAATGACATTTCTTTTGTGAGTCATAATTTAAGATTTTATAGGGGAGATTTTCATATAGTCATCTATGGCAGAATAGCCAAGTCTTAGCTACTTTAGGGCAGCGGCGCGTGAAAAACTAACACAGAAAGGGGTAAACTCGAAAGGTATTACTCGTAACCATCCCTGGGCAAAGGCTTTTTTAAAAATATATGTGTAAGTTTAATATCTATTTGGCACCTTGGTGATTGTAGTTGGCGTGACAGATCACCATATTGAAATATCAGCATTTTATAGGTATATATTGAGAAAAGGAATGTTTAGGTCTTTATACAATGCAAATATTTAAATGCATCTAAAAGAAGAAATTGTCTGCACTTATAATAAAAGTTGATTTTACTTGAAATGTCGGCCAAAAGTGGGAAAAAATAATTGAACCGTTAACACGTACAATAATAATATGTACAATAGTTATAGATTTAAATGTATACAAGGGATAAAAAATGGTTTTAAAATCTGTTTTTATACGAGATAATATTATACAAGCATTCACATTATTAATATGTGATATATAACAGTTAAATTCAAATCAAATCAAACTTAAGTTCTGTTTAAAATTTGCTTTTAAAGTGAGAAATTTCACTTTATCAAGCTAACATTAGCAATGTCAATTAGAAATTAACAAATTAAAAAAATACATTGAATACAAACAATAAAAAAGTAACGATGTGCTATATTTTAATGAAAACTTAAGTGTTACTAAAAACAAATGCAAGATTAAAAATACAGCAATTAATCTAAGTTATCCAAACACATAATTTAGCTACACCTTTCATGTACTATTTGTTATTGGGAAAAACTGATTTCTGGTAATTGGAACTATTAACATGTTACAAAATCAGTAAGGTACATTTATTTAACTATTGAATAATACCTGGTTCGTTAAAAGTAATATATTTATCGAAAATAATATAAACCGAGACACGTCGCCGCCAGTTCCCATTGTTGTTATTATTATTGACATTTACAGACTGATGCCGTCTACGATTTCGAAACCAAAACACCTTCTACATTTTTTGAGTCAGATTTTCACTGCATTAAGCGTTGTAAGGAGCAATGGGTCGTTATCGTGATTGCGCAAGATCAGTTCAGACCACTTTAAATATTTACTCAAATTTTTATTAGATGGCGCAACTATCGATTTGTGACTACTGAATTATATATTATTTTTATATATTCCCAAGTAGCATCTGATTTAGATAACATCAGAAAACCAGAAAAATTTAACTTTACCTTGTATATCTTTCGAATATTAGAACGATACAAAAGGTCGCTGTTTTCTCAGCAATATACAGGTTATACCTGTATATTGCTGAGAAAATATCGACGTTATATTTTATACAAACTAATATTATCTAACGTTCGTTGTAAAATTATTTTGCATTGGTTTTGGTGCATAATAATATAAGATTTTCTGTATTGTTGTGAAGCAATAAAACATGGAGCATTAGTTTTATAATGTTATTCCACGCCTTATTTGCTTAGCAATACAGAAATACTAAATAAAATTATAATACCGAATTCTGTTATGATCAATTTTCCTCCCTCTTATTCCAAAGTATAAGTTATGTCCAGTTGATATTTTTGAATAAATATTTCAAATTTATTTAAGAAATAAAATTTGAGTGGATGGTGTTTTCTACACTACGCTGCAAGTTGGGTACCGCCTAAATTTCCGGGTTACTGTTTCCGTTGTATTTTAAAGCTATTTGGCATCATTGTGTTTTGAGATTCTTGCAAACAATGTATTTGATTACTTATTACTTGTATTTACAATGCTAACAATACTTGTGTTTACAATGCTAAAAGTATCAACACTAACTTAAGATGGTGCACAGCGTGCAACAAGAACAAACAGAAATAAACTTATGGAAAGAGGCCATATCAAGACTGCCAAAAAAGCGAGTTATTCAAAATCTAGCAACCATGTCACCTTTTTTAACAATATATTTCTAAATAACTAAAACAAATTTTTACTTCAAACTCACCAGAATTACATAATAACATAATATCTTATGAAATACGGCAGATTTGAGCTTAGAAATTATCTAATTTATTTCTTTTATTGAAAACAAAATTATCCGTTTGAAAATATCGCCTCGTAGAATAACATGTAGTTAGCAGCTGCAAACTTTCTAATCGGAATTAGAGCAGGTATACAGCTCGAGATTGTTATTGTTTACATTTCTACTGAAAACACCATCCATAGCTAAACTTTTATTAATATATTTTTCCTTTCTTTTTTAGAGAATGAGCTTTTGGATGTATTTAATATTATTAATTGTTTTCAAGTGCTTATTTTTAATTTTAAATTATAAAGCTCTATTATAATTATAAAGATCTATTTACATTTGAATTTGCGATCGCAACGCTTGAGTACGCCCTCTAGCGGAGGCCTGAAAATATCAGGCATTTAATTCCATCATAATCATTGGCAAAGTCTGATGCCATTTTCTTAGCAGCAAATAAGAAGCAAAATTTCCCTAAAGAAAAGGCAGAAGAACTTAAAAAAACGACCCAGTACATTGGTATATCTTTCCGAAATGGAACGCGCCCAACATTTAAAGAAATTTCTCAATAATAATTACCTTTCTATTATCAACAAACATGCAACCGATAACTTCCATACTGTTACAGATGTGTGTATTACGGTAAAATACATTTTTCTTTGTCTTCAATTGATTACAAATTTAAGTGAAGTGAACATTGCTTACTTTATTCCAATGAATAAATGTAATGTCAGAACATGCAGAACTGTAGTTATAGAATAGTATATATTTCTGAATCTATATAATTCGGAAAACAACAATAAAGAATCATCCGAATAACTTAAAAAAGTATAATTTGTGCTGATTATTAATAAATTTTTATCGTTTTCTTGGTAAGTATTTTTTAATTTTGATGATAAATTTCAACTAGAATTCAGCTATTCTTTTTTTAAGTTACATATTGAAATTCATATCGAGATCTTGCAAATATAAAATTTTACTTTGTGGTATGTCATCTTAAAGTAATGAAAGGATAATCTATGTACGAGTATATATTATTTGAGAATAAAGTTTTCAAACGAAGAACAAATCATTTTGGAATTCTCTGGATTCATAAATCAGGTAAGTGTTAGGATTCTCATAATAAAAAATTTTACTTGTAAATAATTTTTTTTTATTTGATGATAATTTTCTATAGAATGGTTTTCTACGACCGATTATGAATTAAAAAAAGCAAGAAAGTTTTTTATTTTAAATTGAGGAAGTTTTGGAACTGTTATTTTGTTTCGTAAGCATTCTTTATTTTACGTTTTTTAGATTCTAAATAATGATTTTTATTGAAACTTAAAATTTTTTGATAAAACTTTTGTCAAAATTTTTTTTTGCAAAATTAAATTATATAGAATTATGGGCTTATATATACTTTTTGCTTATTTTAATGTTTGAAGTAATATGATTCTTAAAACTATGGAATGCAAAGTTTAAATAGGCCTTTCATGTTATATCATTAAATTTAGTAAAATACTTCTCAGGCATTATGTTTTAACTCTAATAAGAAGATACATATTCAGTTTTTCTGTTTATTTACAAATATTTTTCCGATGTGTTTTGGATGTTCCTTCTCTAAAAAAAAGAGATACCATTTTATTTTCGCTTACACAAGAAAGAATATCAAATATTTTTCTTTTCTAAATTTAATAAGCTACAACAAAGAAGGAACGTTACAATGCTGCATGCTATATTAAAGACGTCGCCAGAGCAACTGAATGACTATACATATAAAAATCGCAGGTATTAGTCTCTTACAGCAACGCCACTTATAGTTCGAACTAAGCGGAAATTTTAACTTTAAATTTTTTCTATCCATAAAATACTAAAATATAATTGTTTAAATTTTTAAGTTGCCATTTTTTGTAATAATTGAGAAAATACAGAAAATAATTTAAAAAATATTTTAATTACTTACTTTCATAAATTTTCGTCAACTTCTTTTTTCTCTGAAATCAAATGGAGAAATACTTAAGTAACTTTATTCTTTAAGTAACTGAAATTTTACTTAACAAAACCCCAGAGACAAAACTCACCCAGGCAGCAAAAGGACATTATATAATACTTCCGTGCTCCCTAGACTCCTGAAAAAACTCTAGACTCCTGAATTCTATCTTCTAACATTAGGGCTAATATTATATAAGATCAAATAGTATTCGATATAACATTCGAGCATTTAAAATTATCATCTATTTCAATACTTTTGGTCCAGCTCCACTTTTTTGTGAAAGGGCATCGCATATTACAAATAAATAAACATTTATTTATGAAAGAACGCAATAGATTAAATATTACTTCATTATCATTATTAGCTAATGCAATTTTATGCCAGAAAATGCAAGAAAATATGAGTGGAAGTAAACTCTGTTCGCGAACGATGTAAAACTGGAAAAACTTTTTCAACTGTTGAATTGTAACTTCTTCACGATTGCTGACATCGCCATATAATTCGCGATCGACAGCTAGAATGAATCGCTTAGATTTCTACAGAAATTTTTTACTAACCTTCATAAATTTCAATGCATATACATAAAATTTTAAAGTAGAAACGTAGATAGTGTTTTTCCTTTAGTTAAAAATCAGCTGGAAAAGTAATATGAAGCATTTCAATGAAAAATGTGTTAGAGAGGATGGTGATTTAGAAACATTTAGTGTCCTTAATAATCTTGACAGTTTAACCAAAGCATTCAAGAATTAATTAAATGATCATGTATCTAATAAAGTCAGAAAATATTGTGATTGTGTTCCTTCTTGACAATGAGTAGTTCACGCGTAGTAGTTGACTACTATGTTAAAACGTATTGTCTAACTATAAATAATAAATATTGCAGTTAGTTTAGAATGGGCTCGTAAAAAATTTTTTTTTTGGTTATTCGCATCTGACAGAATTTCTCTGCATCAATGATAAATATAAAAAGTAATTTTCTTTAAACAAGTTTGCCATGTTAAAATAATTATTAATTAACCGACTACTTTTCAGTTAAAACCATTACATTTTGGAATGTTTGAAATTTTATTCCTTAGACAATACTATTGTTACTTTATTAAAATTTTCTGTTTTAAATATTGTAAAACAATAAGTTAAGCGTCTTTATTTAAACTTCTGGAAAATTGAAAAATAAACAATAATGTGGTCTATTCAAAGTGAGTTTACGCTGAATGAAGAGCAGTGTTGAAAAGGAATTATAATTTTTATTTTAAAAATTTAAAAAATAATGTGAGCATTTCCTGTTGGGCTTATGCAACATACAAAAATATTTTGAGAGTTCAGTGTCATTGCGCTTTATGTTTAAAAAAAATTAAAAAGTATTGAATTTGAGAAATATTTTTGTATCACTATATAGTGGAATACTCACTTCAATTAATATATATATATATTCAATCAATCAATCAATATATATATATATATATATANTAGTTGTTATTACGATTATATATATATATATATATACATTTCATGTGAAATGATTAAAGTTTGAAATAAACATTCAATGCTTAATAGTTTTAAATTTAGTGTTTTCAATGTAACTTTTTTTTCTCATATAATTTTAGCTTCATCTGCTGGGTTAGCAAGCTAATCTACCAGGAAGGAAAGGGCTTCTGGACACTGCAAATAGACGCACTCTGGTAGGAAGTTTGATTCTGTCAGAAAACAGAACAACTGGTGCTGTATCAGCACCAAGCTTCAAAGGCTGTATAAATAAAGAAATAATAATGATACAAAGTTCTTTACTTCTTTTTAAAAATACTCAACAACTAACTTTTTTTAAAAACCAGATGTCATATCTTCTCTCAATAATCTTGCGTGAGTTCATTGAAGTAAAATTTTACTTGGAAATGTACCGTATTTCCGGAAATTCTTTTTTAGGAAGAAATTGTTCCAAAATGCTTTTTTCTTCTCTCACATTTCAGACAAGTCTCCGCGTGCCGTCATCTTCTATGCCACAATAGTTTTATTGCGAAGAAAGAAAGCAGTGCTATTTTTCAGGAAAT